TGTGTCTCTCTCTCTGCCTTAAAATATGCATGAGCAAGGCAAATTGAACAGTGAGTTGAAAGCTAAAAGACCAAAAGAAAGATTTCAGCTGTCATTCACCACAGGGAAGACTAATTTTTGAGTCTGAATCTAGCCAAGTTAATTGCCTAGTAAAACAGCATCAACAAAGCAGAATTATTAAGAAAGATAATATCCAAATTTTCTTTCTCTATAAAATATCATTCATAATGTCTGATATAGTCTCATACTACTGGGCATACACAGAAACACTGAAATGTGACTACTACTCAAAACAAAAGGCAATCAGAACACAACTCTGTGACTATACTACAAACCACTATCAAATTATATACCTTAATTGTATGTATGGTATGTGAATTTATCTCAGCGAAGCTATTACCAATAAGGAAAAAAAGGCAATCATTAGGATCAAATTCCAAGATGATCTATATATTAAAATTGGCTGTCATAACTGGATTCAGCTATATAAAGAGAAAAACACATGTCATGAAAGAACACATAAATCTTAGCAGAAAAACTGAAATGTTAACAAAAAGATCCAAATAGAAATTCCAGAGCTTAAAAAAAATATAACATATCACTTTTAAAAATTCCCTCATGCAGTAAAGAATTAACCTTTCCCAAGGAGAGGTCCAGGCTATGTGCGTGGCAAAACCCATTCATTCCCCCATGACCTGCTAACAGTATTTTGGGTTATCTGACAGTCGTGCCCTTGTCAGATAGTCTACGTTAACAATGTGATTTATTGTGGGGGCTTTGGGTCACATGGCCTTAGCTCAACTTCTGGAGGTGCTGGAAACTGAGGTCACAAAAGCAAATGTTTAACTATGTCTACATGGGTAAGGTCCAATAAAAATGGGACAGCAAGGCCCAAATGAGCTTCTCCAGGTAGCAGTACTCTGTGCATACTGTCACCCATCACTTCTGAGAGGAGTCTGTGCTATCCACAAACCCACAGGGAGAGGACAGCCAGAAACCTTGCACTTGGAACTCTCCTGGACTATGTACCATTTGCTTGGCTGATTTTAATCTGTATCCTTTCAGTGTAGCAAGCTATTATGAATACAGCAGCTTTGAGCAAGTTTTATCAATCCTTTTAGTTGATTATTGAACTTGAGGATCGTCTTGGAAACCCTGAACTTGAAAAACTATCAGGAATGAGGAAGACAGATCCCCATATCACCATCACCACCACCACCATCTTTACCATCACTACCGTCATCATCAAAAGAGTAACAAGGAAGTATTGCAGACAACTTTACGCCAAACATTTCAACAACTTAGATGACATGAACAAAACTTTTTAAAGTTTTGCCTAGTAAAACAGCATCAACAAATCAGAATTATTAAGAAAGATAATATCCAAATTTTCTTTCTCTATAAAATATCATTCATAATGTCTGATATAATCTCATACTACTGGGCATACACAGAAACACTGAAATGTGACTACTACTCAAAACAAAAGGCAATCAGAACACAACTCATAGCTGACACATACTGACAAGGAAAAACTGAATAATCTAATAGGCACAACTTTCTCAGCGGTAGAATCCTTCCTGCATCCCTGCAAGACTCATCTTCCTCAGATACCTACCTGGTTTAGCTTCTCATTTCTGTGTTTCATAATTTTTAGTTCTTGCTCACCAGCACATTCTTGCCCAGTATTAATAATAAAATTTCATCACCCCCAGTACGTTCCTGAAGCCGATCATGCCCCCACCCTTAGATGTGCCAACCTGTTGCACTTCGTATCTGTGTACATGCCCCTTGCCATCAATGCTGCTTCATTCCTCCCCAGTCTCACCTGTGCTTCCTGGCCTACATTGGTGTAATCTTCTCCAAGAAGCATTCCAGATTACTACTAGCCCTCAGGCTCTCTCGTCGAGGAATTTCATGGCAACACATCATTAACACTGTCATAAGCTCTTTGGTGGCAAGAAAAGGCTTTTTTTCTGGTATTAGAGATTAAACCTAGGCCCTTTACACAGAGCCACACTCCCAGCCCTTTTTTATTTTCTACTGTGAAGTAGGTCTTGATAATCTCTAAATTTCCAACACTATGCTTGAACTGTTAAACTGAATGTGGTGGCACATACTTGCAAGCCTAGCATTTGGAAGGCTGAGGCAGGAGGATCACTGTGCATTCAAAGCCAGTCTCAGCTCCATAGTATGTTCAGGGCCAGCCTGAACTGAGAGGCTCTGTTTCAAAAACAACAATAACAACCACAACAACAGCAACACTATACTCACACTGTTATCTTGTTACCTCAGCCTCCCAGAGTGATGGAATTACAGGTATATCCTATCACAATTGGCTCAGAAAGGAAGGAACTTTTGTGTCTCTTAAAACAATTATTCAGGATTAAGCACATAGTAAGAATTCAATAAATATTTGAAATGCATTGAAGTAATATTGAAAGCCAGTTTTATTTCTATAGTCCTTGTCAGACTCTCTTTGTGGTCTCAATACCATCAGAAAAGCAGTGTCTAGAAATGTGCAAATTTCTCTGGCAAGAAGTTTTTTAAAAATATGGTTAAAATAAACAGAAGTAGAATGGAGGATGGAGTAGAGCTGAAATTACACAGAAGTAGGGATGTCTTGTTTGGGAGGTTACATAAGAAAAGAGGGCTGAGATTTACATTCTTTTTTTTTTTTTTTTTTGGCGAAACCAGGGATTGAACTCAGGTACTTGCACTTGCTAGGGAAGCACTTACTCTAGTGAGCCATCTTCCCGGCCCCTGAGATTTACATTCTGCTAGCACTTGTACCAGAGAGGTATATACTACTACCAATAAAGCCTCCTCTTTGTCACCTCCCAATCCCGAATCCTTGCAGGCATAGAATCCTTGCAAGCAGCTCCAGGAAAAGTAATGAATTCACCTTATACCTCCAAATCACATCTGTACCTTCCATTCATTGTGTACTCACATCTGTTTGGACATAGACACAAAATAATAATGTCTACAAAGTAACCAGTGGCTGATTACTTTTGGTCTCTTACTACTGTACGTAAACATATGTGTCTTCACTGCAACCAAGAACACCAAAACGGAGACTGCAAATCTATATTCTTTAAATATATTTTTCACAAAAATAATTTTGCATTTTTACTAAGGTTATCAACATTACTTGTGAATGCACTTAATTTTGATGAAGAAAGTATATATTGGTATATAACATGTGAAGTTAATTCACCAAGGAAAGAAGTCCCTGTAAGCAAAAATTCTCTGAAATGCTCTTGCACTGATGACTTCTTAGAAGCTTCTCTTTCATTTAAACTAAACATAGCTTTATATCATCTTCATACTGCTTCTCTCTAATTAGATAAATCTGGTTGCTCTTCTCTCTAGGCAGATTAAAAGGCTGGGGTGTTTTGTTTTTGCAGCACTTCAAGTTCTAATCCTTAGAGCACTGTGATAACCCAAAGGATCGTGTGATTCAGAGCAGCCAGGTTCCAAAGGAACATATCTGAAGGGAAGGTACAGGGAATACAAGGAGGAAGTTCTTTTGAATAAAAACACACAAAATCCTATAAAAGAACGTGGGCTACTGTGTCTATTTCCAGCCCATAATATTGATCCAGAAACTCACAAGCAACCCCATCCTTACCCAGGTTGGAGGATGCGCGCCCCTCGGCAGCCCGGTCCTTGAGGTCCTCGGCAATGCCCAGCTGCTGCTCATGGTACTGCTTGGCCCTCTCCAAATCCTGCATGCACCTGGCGGCATGGCCGAGGCCAGCATAGGCCCGCATCTCAATGGCCTTCTCCAGGAGCTCCTGTGCCAGCTCCAGCACGTAGTTGTGGTAAGACATGGCCTTGTCAAAGTTCCTCCGGTAGTGGTAGGCGCTGCCTAGGTTGCTGTAGGCCCGGGCCTCCTCTCGCTTGTTTCCCAGGTCCTTGGCTATCTTCAGGTGCTGCTCATGGCACTGCACAGCATTCTCAAAGTCGCCCATGGCAATGTACACTGCACCCATGTTGCCAAGTTCTCGGGCTTCAGAAAGTTCATCTTTGGATTGCTTGGCGAGAAGAACACACTGCTTGTGACTGGCCAGTGCATTGGGATAGTCTCCAATCGCTGTGTACACGTGACCCAGACTGCTCAGGGCTGATGAAGCTGCCTGGAGAGGAAGGATAAGGCAAAGAAATGAACGCACAGCAGAAAATGGCTTTGGTTTGTTTCAGCAGATAAAATTTTAAGAGTTTGCCTGTAACTATCAATCCAATTCCTCATGGTTTTTCTATCAGTGGCCCACAGACCTATGTAGAACTGATAAAGAACACATCCAACAGCAAGTTCCTAATGGAAAATAATGGTGACTTAATCAGTAGCTTTCCATACCTAATCTCACAGAAACAGGTTGTGTTCCACATAACCTTCATCCTAGCTTAAAGACTTGTTCACAATTCTGATATTCACTATGATATTATAGCTCTTAATACCTATTATCTTCTGTAGTATAAGAAAATGCTGAAGAAAACCAAAATTAATTATGACATATGATAGAGCATAAGACATTCACAAGGAGAAATCCATGCTTGGCTCTCAGCACTTTGCCCATTTCTCTTCTCTGCTCTCCTTCCAAAGCAAATGCAGGAACCATGGTAAGGAGCACATTACCATGGTGACTGAGAATTTTGTGACCCAAGGCCCACTGCAGCATCAGATCTTTTGTCTTGTTCCTTTAATGTGACTTCATCGTGCTGGCTGCTGTGGAGGATGTAGATTTGGATGAGTTTCCGAGGAAAACAATGGGTGGGTTACAATCAATGCCTCTGCACAGGAAAGTATCCATTAAGTCTCCTACTTTCCTCCCACTCCATCAGCTTTTCTTTTCCTACCTAGGGGCTCTGCTAATTCCTGCCTCTCTGTGCTGAGAGACATTCTCTCGTCTCATCCATTTCTCGCCCATTTCATGTCCAAGGAAGAGTACATGGACCTTTTATCTTTAAGATTTAATGAAAATGGCTCTATATCAGTATAGTGAACCATACGAGGAAACAAAATTAGCAATGGAGAGGTCACATGGTTTCTACAATCTTACCAATGTATATACAGTCTTAGACTCTAGTATTATTCACTTTAGAACTTTTTTCAGATACATAAAAGGGAAGTTATGTCAAATTTCTTTTACATCGACAAAGTGGAAGCTTACCTAAGCCTCCCTTCCTTCACTACACGCCTATAGCGAGGGGCCCTTTCTTCATGATGCTTTCCTTTGCATAATGAACACGTGGGCCTAGGGAACAAGGAGTACAATTGTTCTGCCACTACTGGGCAAGAAACTGTCCCAAGGGCTTGAGGTTAGGGAATATAATGAGGTAGTGCTGGCCCTGCTGGAGCACAGCGTTTTTCTTTAAGAGATGTGTTCTATGTCTGGGAAACTCAGCCCACACGTGTATTAATATTTTATAGATATGAGTGATATGCTACCCTACTTTCTTTGCTTGTGAAATAACAGTTTTTGATCAAAATGACTGAGAAATCATTTATGGTGCTTGCAAATTGTGTATCTGTGAAGTGTTTCATATTGTTTGAAGACTCTTTCATCATTTCACAGATGTTTCCACAAAAAGGATTTACAGAATAGAGAGGAAATAAATACTTAGAAATTTACTTTCTTGTTTCAGTCTGAGTGGTAGGGAGTAGAATCAATTCCACAAAAGTCGCACTGCTACAGCACAGGCGGTCAATGCGTCACCCCATGCATGCTGCTTAGACTGCATTGGCCCCAAGTTTGTACCTTGACAGCCTTTTTGAACTGAGGTTGGGACTTTATGTCCGCACATTCTGCACAGTCATCTATGAACCATGGGCCTTTCCCTTTCTCTCCTCCAGTAGCTGACCCTCTGGGAGGCCACAGTCCACAAATACTCCCACTGTTTGTTGTCTTCATAGTAAAAGGGATAAGTTCTTCCACTATAGAGTTAGGGTAGCTTAGACTCAGACCCATTTGGTCACAAATGCACTGCCCTTTCTCAGCTGGGACCTTTAGCAACTTCACTTTTCTGAAGCTTGGTTTTCTAGACAGAGATTTTTAGGCCCTAGCAGCAAGCCAGGAGCTAAGCATTTTCAAACTCAGCCCTGAGCCCCTGTCAAATATGTAGAACATAAATAATTTACTAGATAGCTCCAAAGAGTAGATCTGGTTGGAAGCAATGAGCCCTTGCACACTGCAAGGGATGGATTTATAGGGCTCAGGACAGGCACAATACCCCAGGCATCTACTATTCTCAGAAACTTCTGGTTTATAGCAACTCTAAATGACAGCCCTGGGATCTTCTGCTTCTAGTCCTTCATTTCTCTAAATGCCAGGGAGACACAGAAGCTCACCTACTGGAGTTCTCTGAACATAAGGAGAGGGACTAGTGGGGCACCTCTTTTCTGGAGTGTGGCTCTCGGGAAGAGGGAAGAACTATTCCATTAGCTCTTTCCAAGCATCCTCCAATTGCCAGGCAGTGCTACCAGGCTGGGGCTATTCATGGCAGCTGTCCTGCAAATCAGCATTTCTAGGAAAGAATATATAATTTAGGAAATAGAGTCTCTGAAAAGAGAGAACCAGCTTAGTACGGAGCAAGAATAGAACAGGAGTTAACATCTGAAGCCCTGGCTGTATAAACTAATAAGTTATCTTAATTTGTCACCCCTGTTTTATTTATAGAATGGTGCTAATAACAATGCTGACCACACATCACAGGCCTGGGATGGAATGAGATTGCAGCAGTGCCTATGAAGGCATCACTAAGGACCCTGAGAGCTTTGTCACTGCACCCTGGTAAGGCTGAGCTCTGTTTCAAGTAGAAGCCAGTAGGGCTAACTGAACACATCAGTCATTGTGTTCAGGCATCTCTATTCCTATCACTTGCCACAGGAAATGAAGTCTAGTGTTTTACAACCCATGGGCAAATAACATGTGATGATATTTATCAGCTAAGTGAATTACAAATTAATCACTTGTCTTTGTTCCTGCTCCTGTAGAGTAAATGTAGATCTAAAACATGGTTTCAGGCTGTTAATGAGGACCTGAAGGCCCACTATTGAGAGGGAATCACTGGCCCCACCCCAAGCAGATGCTGTATTTGCCACCCTGCTCTTGTATATTAATCTCTCTGAGATTTTTTGTGCTAGAATAGCAGCAGCTGCTTTCCACAGTGGAAACATTTTGGAACATCTGTATTTGAATACTAAAATGCATCCCAACAGTTATGCTAACAAACTATCCGCTTGGAAGAAGACAATAGTTTTCTCTTTCTACAAGATAGAGATTAGTCATCTTCTTGCCAAAGCATAAGCTCCAGCTGCAGACTCAGGCACACGGAGTGAGTCCATCCTTGCTCTGTGACCTGAGTACTCACCGAAGAACTGCATCGCACAAGTCAGTTCTGTGAGACCTGAAGTCAGAGCTGCAAATCTGCTCACATTTCTTCAGACCACCTTTAAAAGGTTTTAATTTGAGAAATAAAATAAAATTTAAATACCCAAACTATAACCACATTGATGACACGACCATTAAATAGTGTGCTAAAGATTTAAACATGTTTTTAGCATGCCCCCTCACTTACTATACGCATTTTTATAAGGGCTATATTTTATGGAGGATTATATGAATAATAGGGCTATATAAAGAATGCTTAATATAATTGCTGATGATTAATTTCATGTAGTTGGAAAAATGGGAAATGTATCTACAGCCAGTATCAGAAATATTGTTCTCTTTTTATTGCCAAAAGCCACATGTACCACGTATCCCCTGCCACTTCAATACCCAAAAGCTCAGAGTCCTAGATTAACCACCCACAACCCAGTAGACATAAAGAAACACATAGGGATTGACTCTGAAATTAAGCAGACACGCTCTGTGATGATACACAGTATGTAAACATCTCTGAGCCTCAAATTTCCTCATTTGTAAAACAGAAATCTTAAAACCTCTCAGAGCCTCATCTTTTTGTTTGTTTGTTTGTTTGTCTTTTTGTCTGTTTGAGACAGGGCCATGCTATGCAGTTCAGGCTGGCCTTGAGCTCACTTTGTAGCCCAGGATGGTCTTGAACTCGCAATGATCCTTTTGTTTCAGTCTCCTGTTCAGTCAGCCTCCTGAGTGCTGGAATTACAGGCGAGCCTTGATGTCTTATACTAAATAAGACAATATTCTTAATGAGCCTGATTCTGCATTTGGCACATAAAAGGCACTCTTTATACCTAATTCACTTAGCTCTAATTACTTCAGAGATGTGGCAGAAGATGACAAGGATATAAAATATGTTTTGTCACGGCAACTAAAAAAGATAACACACAGGAAGCAGGTCCTACCCAAGATGGAAAGCATCACTGCTTTAATCTAGCAAAGAGTAGAGCATTATGTTGTTTTTTACAACTACACACATAAGAGAACTCATCCTTTTCTTAGGAATATTTTAGATTCACTGGTCTATCCAACATGTAGTGTTGGTAGAGACACTTTTACTTCAGGTAGTTACAGTTGTGGCATGTTTGGGGTCTACTGGTTGGCTGGTTTATTTATTTGTTCATACATTCAAGAAAATTTTGGCCTGTCGTGCTGGCCCCGCCTCCGGGGTGCACTAAGATGGCAATTGAGACTGGGAATGGTGGTGTACACCTGTAATCCCAGCTCTTGGGAGGTTGTAAACAGGCGGATCACTGAGTCTGATCTAGTAGTGAGACCCCGAACACCCTGTAGACCTTTCCTCTCCCCCCACCCCCAAAAAAAGAATTTCTAGACTTACACAAATCAAACCAACTCATCTTTGGTGTTCAGTGGAGAAAGGATACCCTTTTAAACAACTGATACTAAAACAACTTGACATCACCTGCCAAAAAAAGAATCCAACCCAGACCTCACAGCTTGAATAAAAAGTAACTTGAAATGAGACTGGGCGTAGTTATTACAGATTAATAACTGTAATCCCAGCATTGGAAGGCTGAGACAAGAGGATCACTGAGAGTTTGAGGTCAGCTTAGGCTAAATAGTGAGTTCAAGGCCTGCCTGAATTATCTGACAAGACCATGTCTCGAAGAGTCTTCCAAAAAAAAAACTTGAAAATATTCATAGTAAATACTGAACTCTTAGAAATAACATAAAAGAAACTCTAGGTATTTAGG